AGAGGAAAATGGGGAGGGAAAGAGGGGAGGGAGGGAAGTGAGGAGCAGGGAAAGGAGGAAGGGAGGGAGGGAGGGAGGGAGGGAGGGAGGGAGGGAGGGAAGAGTAGGAAAGGGAGGGAGGGAGGGAGGAGCAAGGAAGATAGGGAGGGAGGGAGTGTAGGAGGGAAGGGAGGAAGGGAGGGAGGGAAAAAGGGAGGGAGGGAGGAGGGAAAAGGGAAAGGGAGGGAGGGAGGGAGGAGCAAGGAAGATAGGGAGGGAGGGAGTGTAGGAGGGAGGGAGGAAGGGAGGGAGGGAGGGAGGGAAAAAGGGAATGAGAGAGGTAGGGAGGGGAAGGGAAAGGAGGGAGGGAGGGAGGGAGGGAGGAGCAGGGAGGGAAGGGAGAGAGGGAGGGAAGAACAGGGAAGGGAGGGAGAGAGGGAGGGAGAAGCAGGGAAGGAAGGAAAGGGGGCGTAAAGTCTGAGAAAGAGAAGAGAGAGGGATGGAGGGGAAGGAAAGGGAGGAGAAAGGGTAGTACAAAGAAGGAAAGAGGGGAAGGAGAGAGGGAGGGGAAGGGAAGGAGGGAGAAGGAGATACAGAAAAGGAGAGAAGGGAGGAGAGGGAAGGAAGGGCCGAAGAAGGGAGGAGAAGAGGGAAAGTAGAGATGGAAAGATGGGAGAGAGGGGTGACAGAGAAGGGAGGAGAGAGGGAGGAAGGCCAAGGAAAGGCAGGGAAGGAAGAAGAAAGGGAATAAAGGGGTAAGGAAAGGAGACAGGATGCCGGGAGGAGAAGGGAGAAGGAAGTGAGGAAAGGCCAAAGAGAGGCACAGGAGGGAGGAGAGGAATGAAGGGGAAGTGGAGGAGAAAAGGACAAGGCAACGAGGTAAGAAAAAAAGAGAGAAAAGAAAGAGGGGAAGGAAATATGGAAAGAGATGTGGAAAAGAGGAAGAGAGGAAGGAGCGAAGGAGGAGAAAAGGATAAGGGAAGAGTGGAGGGAGAAGCTTGTGGTCATAAACAAAGAGGGAGTTATCTTCACGAGTGATCTGGTTTCGTCAAATACGATACTGAAGGAGTTACATTTCGAAACAGGCAGTCGTGTGCAGCATAGTTACCAAGTATATACATGTGTTCATCATCTGTTTATCCCCCAGCGATATAATCACAATGGGCGGCACACTAACGAACAGAGGCCGTAGTTGCGACGGCGATGATAACAGCAATGGAGAGACGTTATTACTCATAAAAATGAGTGACTCGGGGGACCAGATCTGTCCTCGTCACGGCCAGATGAAAGGCGTGGAGAGGGACGGAAGAGAGAGAGAGAGAGAGAGAGCGGAGGAGAGGAAGGGAGGCAATAGAAGAATGGTGTTTAGCGTTTTCAGATGACCGATTATAGACACCGTAAATGAACTCCACCATCAAGATGTTCTCTCACTTCACCTTGCAGTCTATCCGGACTGAGAGGAGGGCATTCGTAATGCAAGTTGCAGATGTCCGTCTCAAGGTCATTATGGATCTCTCGGCGCATATGGGCACGGCACTTCAGCTCGGTCATTACGGGTTTTGAGTGGATTGTTACGGCGAGGACAGTTCCTTCGGCGCAGCCTTCATTTTCTCGAAGCAGACATCATGTGCACTTCGCCTCCAAGCCATTGTCGTGATCCAACTTCTATAAAGAATCCTCGTCGTGTTTCCTCTCGGCGGCTACAAAGCTTCCCCGCCTGCCATAATGCACATCCATGAAAACCTTCGCTTCATCCTCACAAAAAGGAAAAAAAGGGAAAACCTCCTTAAAGTGGACACAGCTGGCTCCCTCCCCCTCCTTCCCCTCCCCTCGGCCATCGCTGTGCCGCCCCCGCTCCACCGGCCTTCTGCTCCACCTCCGCTCCTCTCTCCCGGCGACATCCACACGCGACGCTCATGCACACGCGGAGACAGAGGAGCTCGCCGCCGCCACCTGAATGGAGCTCCACTGCGCCTCCATAACGCCATTAGCCTCCACGGTCTCGCGCGCTGCCATTGCTGTAACGTGAGTCTTGCAGCATCCTGTAATACTCATTCGATTACAGCGTCGGTCAGCCTCCCTCGTCACGCTCCCAAGCCTCACGCATATCACTTATCCACTCGAGTATCCACGCCGCATCCACACTGCGAGATGAGAGAAGAGCCTTAACCTGCTGATAAATTTGCGATAAACGTTTGTCTTATCGTATTTACCTTATCTAGCGGGTCGACCGAGGGCTGACCCCATTAAACTTTCACATCAGACGTTGGATAGAGGCTATCCCTTCTGTAATCCATCTTTGGACCACACTAATCTATCTATCCACAAGCTTCCCCCAAGATCTCGTTAGAAGTCCGCTGGTCAAAAGGTGGAGGGGGCGGGGCCAAGAGGCGGAGTGGGCGGGGTTACGACCGCGAGGGGAGGGACAGGTCGCACTCGAGGCATGTCTCTCTCATCTCTCACAGTTCAGTCGGTCCTCAGACGGGACGGGAAACGTACGCTCGCGTCTGGCGCTGTGAGA